TGTTCCGCTTGCCGCCCACCATCTTCGACGCGAACTTGGACTTGCTGTTGCCGGACCGAGGCCGACGCGGCCGAGCCGCCGTCGCGCGCCACTGGCGCCGGCACCGCCGCCACCGCCGCCGCCGCGCCGCCGGTGGACTCGTCGTACGACACGGCGACGGCGACAGTTGGTCCTGACCGACACGACGGAACAGGACACGGGCCGGCCACCGGACGTCCCGACGCCGGCGTGCTGGTGATTCTGGGAATGGTCGCCGCCCGGGGACGACGACGTCAACAGTAGGCGCGAGTGTGGCGAGGCCGTGTCGCCCGCGCTGCACCGGCGGTGTTCCTTCCGGTTGCCGACGGCCACGCGCAGCTGACACGCGGACGGGTCGACGGCCGACCGGACGGTGGCGGCCCGCTGCTGGTACGTCTCGGCCGCCGTGTGGACGGCGTACAGCGGACTGAGCTGGTCGGCGACGTCGTGGAAACGAGCTGCGCGACTTTGGCTGAGCGTCTCGGGCGGCGAGTTGCCGTTGGCGTCCACCGCGGTGGTGGCCGTGGTGACGGTGGCCACGGCCGCGGCCGCGGCAGCCGCGCTTATGCAGTCCGAGCTCGGGTAGCTGACGCTGATCTTGATCCGCTCGTGGTTGCTGCGCCGGACCGACGGCCGCCGACTGTTCGGTGGCCGGTTCACGTCCAGCGACCCGCCGCCGCCCGGCCCGTTGGCCGCGGACGACGACGACGGTGTCGCGGCGTGTTTGAGCGACGAACCCCGGCCGCGGTGTATGCGCAACGTGAGCTGCTCGTCGAACCGAGTTGCCGAACGTCCGGCGGCTGCGCATCGTCCAGCAATACGTAACTGAACGAAGCGTCAGATCAAGGCTCAGGTGAAGCGGTTCCGGATGGAGACCAAGGCGGCCAAGACGCTGGGCATAATCGTCGGCGGTTTCATCGTGTGCTGGCTACCCTTCTTCACCATGTACTTGGTCCGGGCGTTCTGCCCGACGTGCATACAGCCCACCCTGTTCTCCGTCATGTTCTGGCTGGGCTACTGTAACAGCGCCATCAATCCGATGATCTACGCACTGTTCAGCAAGGACTTCCGGTTCGCGTTCAAGCGGATCATATGCCGGTGGTGCTGTTGGGCGTCGTCCGGCGACTCGACGGCCGGCATGGGCGGCGGACTGACCGTGGCCGACTACGGCCGGCGCAAGGGATCGGACGGTTCGCAGCTGGGCGCCGGCGGCCACGGCGGTTCGTCGCCTCGAAACAGGTACATCGTGGCCGGTTCCGTGGTCGGGGCCGTGGGTTCCGACGAGTGCAGCACGCGCAGCATGCGCCTGCTCCAGTACTCGGACAGCGAGCCGCTCAACGAACCGTGTTCGGACGACAGGTGATCGTCACTGCGCGAGCGACACCTCCGTCGCTGTAACGACGTTACTAAGAGAATGTGTTCTGCGTTACGATGCCGGTATGACTCCCGTTCTGTGCGACGAGTGCGTTTTTGCATTATTAATTATTATTATTATTATTATAAAACTATTAAACGAAATGATATTATATTATAAAAATACACTAATATAAGATTATTATTATAATTATAATTATTATAATTATTATTATTATTATTATTATTATTATTATTATATTATTATACGATAATGTTATGTGTTTCCGTTACCCATTATAAATATTATTAATATAAATACGCATTATGTAATTACATATAATTATTATAATTATTATTATTATTATTATTATGTTTGCCGTTATATAAATAATATGTTTTATCCTTGTACGTATAATACTGTGTGTAAAACGTTACAATAATATGTTGTATTTCAATATCGTTTGTGACTTAAGACGAGCGTATTACAAAACACGATAGTTGTTATCCTTACCGGCCGATCCCCCATATTATGATATCGTGATAATATTATTACGAATAACCATACGACACACGAGACATCGATTCACTCAGTCTATACGATAGTATATAATAATGTATTGTAGCACGTATGCATAATACAACGATAGGGTGCGTGATATTGTTTGAAAACTTTTTTATAAAAATAGCGGGATGTCGATGACCTCGTTTCTAAAATATCTGTCTACGAGAACGGCACTTTTTAAAGGGTATAACGATCACGGTTATGTGTGATATCTACATATTATATATAAATATATATATATATGTATTTTTTCTTCTTCTCGTCTAGTCAACAAATATTGAAAATCGGTGTAAAAAAAAACCCATAAAAGTCATATATGTTTGTGGATATCTATCGATTTTTCACGATATCGTTTTTACTTAAATTCGAGAATTTCGAAAACAAACAAAAATAATACCGACGTAGATTTAGACGATATATTATTTTTAAAACAAAACACGCATAGTTGCATTATACCTGCAATAGATTATTGACAGATCTCGTAATATTCTTGACAATTATTTCGAACCTATAACGTTAAATCACGTTTAACTATGAGCACCTCCTTACCAGTAATATATAGCTAGAAAATAAAAACGTTTTTCTGAAATTGCAAACCAAATATGTTATTATTCTTATACGCATTTTATTTAACAGCACTTTGACGTAGACCAAATCATTATGTGCCTTTTTGTCAACAGAAAAATTGTTTATCCAAAGTGAACTCAGTAAAACGGAGTTGATTTAAATTAAAATTAAATAAAAAAAAGATCATTCAGTGATAAGCTAAGAAGAATAAATGTTATAATAAATAATAATTTATTAAGTATTAATATTATTGAACAAATATTAAAAATATAATATCACATTTGAAAAATATAATAACCAAATAAAGTCAACGGTTAGATTTTGAATTAATACTAACGAATGTCAATATAAATTTAAATGAAATAAATAACTGCAAGTGGAACAAAAATTCGTCCAAAACAAACTAGAAACTTAATATTAAATCATATAATTGCGTTATTATTTAATTTATGCAGAAAGTTACATTTTTACTTTATTTAGCTCGACAAATAAACATAATGCGTTAAATAAATTATTGCATCTTCCTACATCTTAAATGACCATCCTATAAGTTTGAGTGAATATAAAATGTCAGATATTTATAAATATACGAATATAATTTAAGTACCAAACGATATTTAATATAAACCAGATAAAATAAAAGACGATTTTTGTCAATTAATAAAACATGTACCTAATCAAATAAAAAAAATTGGTTTAGTAAACTTGTTTTAATTTTTATCAATTAAGGACTCTATATAATTTTTATTGATATCACATTTGCGTTTACTCCGGATACAAATTCTGCAAGATATCTATTAGAATATTAATTTTATCTATCGGATATCTTAATGTCAATGATATAACAACAAATCTTGTTGTTCAATATTCCGACTACAATTTTGAATCTTTTCGAATTTTACTCTTGCGATCGATTTGATCCTTACACTAGACTATTGAATCATAGATAATTTTTCAATTTCAACACCATCAATAGTAAACATGTTCTCTTTTATATTTTATTCAATAGCTATGATTCATTTTATTTATTTACAGTTGTTTTGTTTTTTTTATTATTTTTCTTATATGTTTTATTGGTTTTTGTGTTTTTCTTATTGTCTTTCACTTATGTTTTAATCTCAAAAATTTTCAACACTTTTATTAAATGCTATTGAAAATATTTGTTAGTAATAGTGAATACATTTTCATAATGAATTTACGATTTGTAATTATAATAAAACACTCAAAATAATTATTACAACGCTATAAAATCAAATCTTAAGTTAAATATGAATTATAATGTAAACATTATTTTTTAAACGATTTGAATTTATCATTCATATTAAAATGTATTATATATATATATACTATTATTGATTTCATGTTTGGAGTTAAATTATTTTAATTATTATATTTATTTTGCGTAAATTAATATTGCATGCAACATATGACGTAGTTAATATAACTATAAACAGTTTTATAAAACATTAGCGATGCAATACCTACCTTATGAAACAATTAATTATCTATGGTATATCCTAATATTATTTTCTATTCATTATTTTCTTTATTATGGTTTCTATAATCATCATCAACTAGCGAATTCAAATACTACGGACTATCATATTATACTAAGTACGAAGAAATAACAATAATATTGCAGTGAAAACGGTAAGTGTGTAAACATTGTAAATAACAAAAAAATTATTAATTAATACACTATATTTATAATTTATTTAAAAAAAAAAAAACACTGAAGTAGCTGTAAGATGTCATTTAAATGTTAAAACTATTTTTATTACATTTATATTATAATCGATATTATTGAAAATATAAATTGAATTATAAATTTACTTGATGAGCGCATAATTTAAGTTGATTAAATCTGATTCATTTGGATTAGTTCTATATTTTTATTTAATATTTTAATCGATTTTAGGTATATTACTATTTAGTAATTGAAAAAATAAAAGATTTATAGATCATGATTTTACAATATAAACGTAATGTTTAATTGTATACATAAATAACAGTAAAAATTATAGATTTTCAATAACATAAAATTTACCTACATGGCTATATATTACATAATATTATAATTTATAATATATTAATGTTATAAATATTTAATAAGTTATTTCTAAGTGAACCATAAAAATAAGTGTTTATAAAACGTCTACAAAATTTGTACATGTACAAATAATATTTAATTTATGACTTTAATCTTTGTATATTAACAGAAAATATTTTTTTTACTGAAAATGTTTTTTATATTATTATTCAAATACACAGCTTATTAACCTACCTGTCTATTAAAGTTTACATTTAAAGTTACATTTCATTCATGAACATTTTTCTTTTTAATTTTATATAATTGCAATAGGGTGTAGTATTGTTGGTTCAGTGTCCTACATAAATGTTTCCTGTGACCTCGATTATCTTAATGATTTTTCTTAATGAATTCTTTTTTCTTGTCCGGAGCCGAAAGCTTCATTGAGTAAGTTAATGCATAAGCATTTTGTTTCGGGTTTTAGTTTTGTGATGCATTCTAAGAATCGTTTCGCACCTTAATTCGAGCTCCTTACAAGTTGGATGAAAATGTGTGAGTCTAATCAGACCGTTACAATAAATATGTACCGTTTGAGCGAATATATATATATACCACTTGGGCGAGAATTATTAAAAATATTAGCATAGATATTAATAATATTAATAGTAACTAATAATGATTAACAAAATAATATTATTGGCATCAAAGTCACCAGGCAACATCATTTCAATCGTCCAAACGGTATAAATGATAGTTACTCAGATTTAATTTTTTTTGTTAAAAGTATGAAACATTTATTAAATTCTTATGCCATAACACAAATAACTGGCTTTTTTAATTTCTACAGTCTATTTTAACAAATTAATACTTATTATTACGATTTAAAATGTACCTTATTGACAAATATTATGCATTTGTTTTTTTTTTTTTAATGGTTGCGTACAAAAAAAAATATAGAATGTCTAGACATCCCTGTATTTGTTCTGTACTTCATTTGCATCGCAACTGTGGCACTGAATACAGATATAAACTCAATAAAATCTGTTCTTTCAAATAATTAAGCTTTAATGAGCTACTTTCATCTGGGGGCGTAGCTCAGATGGTAGAGCGCTCGCTTAGCATGCGAGAGGTACCGGGATCGATGCCCGGCGCCTCCAAATTAAATTTTTTTTATTCACAAAATTATGTAAATTTAAAATTAAATTATAATTTATAGTGGTTTTTACAATAATTTTTATTAAAAAAACATTTATTTTAATATTTTATTAATTTATTAGGTATAATTATTATAAATCCTGGAATTTATTTTTACTTTTTATCTCCTCTCCTCAAAGTACTAATTAATTATTAATTCTAATTTTATACTAAAAATTACCCCTAAAATTGAAAATTAATGTGTTTATCGATTACTTAACATGTACATAGGTTCTAAAAAAAGACACTCATCATTTTAAAATCAATACATCTATTTCTTGGCTCAGAATCTTAAATAAATAAATCAACTCCTTACACAAATGTAATGTACCATGATAAAAATTTTAAAGGATAACTACAATTCATTATATTAAAAAATAAAGAACAGACTTTATAAATATATATAATAGTATATATTATTTTTAAAATATATATATAAGTACACACTATATATTTGAAATAATTATAAGGCTTTATTATACTAAAATTAAAATGTATTAATTTGCTTTTCAAGATTAGTTTTGACATGAAAGTTACTGAACTACAAATAGTTAAATAGCAAACTATACAAAAGAATCGTTTTAGTGGCCCATTCTCGATTTTTGGCAATTTTCCCTTTAGACGATTACCATTGTCGTTTGTTCCGTCTGGTGAACGCTAAACGCCAACAATCCGGCGCTGTTGCAAAGTACATAACAACTGTGCCAAAACTGATAACTTTTTCACTATAATTATGCCTACTGATTTATTCATTTAGACCATTCACCTTATCCTATGTCACCTTTACAATAATTTTAAAATGTCCTAAATTTAACAATACCAAGAACCGTTCAAAGG